GAATCGAACCTTCAAGTATTCAAAATTACACCGATAACGTGATAGTTATCTATATTTAGCTTGGATATATCTCCATCTATATTGAATTGCAGATACAGAAATGGTAAAATCATAGTCGATTGGACCAAATCCAAAGATGGTTCTTCTATAGAAGGTAATAAATAAACAAAAACTTTGTTTCGAGGAGATAGCAATCTGATATCTAATGAATTCAAGGATTTCATTATAAATGAAAGAAAAAAAGAAACAACATAACAATGAAATTTAAATCTCAACACAAGACGAAGGGGGATATGGCGAAATCGGTAGACGCTACGGACTTAATTAGATTGGGCCTTGGTATGGAAACCCGCTAAGTGAGAACTTTCAAATTCAGAGAAACCCTGGAATTAATAAAAAGGGGCAATCCTGAGCCAAATCCTATTTTCCGAAAACAAAAAACAAAGGTTCAGAAAGGGAAAAAGGGGATAGGTGCAGAGACTCAACGGAAGCTGTTCTAACAAATGGAGTTGGATGCGTTAGTCGATAAGTCTTTCCAGGAAAAATTCCTTCAGTATTTTCAGTATTTAAGGATAAAGCGAAGGATAACCATATATATACATATGTAGTGAATAGTATATTAAATGAGTATTGACAGCCCAAACTCTTTTTTCTATGAAAAAAGAAAGTTAATAGATTCCATGTTTAAGAACGAATCGAATATTCATTGATCAAATGATTCACTCCATAGTCTGATAGATCTTTTCACGAACTGATTAATCAGACGAGAATAAAGATAGAGTCCCATTTTACATGTCAATTCCGGCAACAATGAAATTTATAGTTAAGAGGAAAATCCGTCGACTTTTAAAATCGTGAGGGTTCAAGTCCCTCTATCCCCAAATCAAATAGACTATTTGATTCCCCAACTATCTATTTAACTATCCCTCTTTTGTTATCGGTTCAAAATGCCCTATCCATTTCATTCACTATATTCTCTTAGAAGTGGTCGGGGCAACAATACCCTTTTCTTTGTATCACATACATACAAATGGATATGATACAAATGGATATGTTTGAGCAAGAAATCCCCATTTGAATGATTTACAATCTATAGAATTACTCCTAACCTAAAAAACTTGGAAATTCCCCCTTTTTTAAGTTTTAATATAATTGTTGGAATTGGTAAGATTCTTTTAATTGACACAGTACCCATTTTGGAGTAAAATGAGAATGCTACATTGGAAGGGGTCGGGATAGCTCAGCTGGTAGAGCAGAGGACTGAAAATCCTCGTGTCACCAGTTCAAATCTGGTTCCTGGCATGGCACACGATTCATTTGCATGGTTTTCTCTTCTCTTTTCTAGAAATAGAGAAATTCATTTTGAATTCACATTCCTATGCATTTAGAGCTTCGATCACAATAATACTTTTATCCACTGTGTGAAGATATACCCACCCCATCTATTTTTTCGTTTTATATTTTTATTTTTTAGTTTTATATTTTATAGATTATAGATGGGTAGAATTTTTCAAATAAAGTATCTACAAAATTCGATTCTATTTCATTTCTCCTATTCTTTATCTTCAAAAAGAATGTTAATACTTCATATCAAAACAAAGGGTTAAATTGGTTGCTTGAGAGACTCAAAAGTCAAATCTGAAGTAGACAAAAGATACAAATAACTAGAAGTCAATACTCCTTCAGTTCTTTGTATCCTCTTTACTATTTGATTTCTTCATTACTCTTACATAACTTTTTCTAAAATTAAAATTGTTTCTATTTCTAAGTTGAAGTTGTTTAAGTTGGGATCCGAGAATCCTCCTGAATCCCTAATTTTTTGTATTGTCTTTTTTGTTAGCCTATCAACAACCATTATTTATCAACCATTATTTATTATTTTTATTCTGCTTAATCAAAACGGAATGTATAAGTCTTGAATATCTGAAAAATTGTATAAGAGCGGTCTTATCATTCACATTCAATGGGCATCTTGTATTTCATAAAAATTGGGGGCAATATAATCTTTGCGTAAGGGCCAGCCTATCCAACTTTCCGGCATTAAGATACGTTTCAAACGGGGATGATTTTCATAAGAGATTCCCAACATATCATAGGATTCTCGTTCTTGAAAATCCACACTTTTCCAAACCCAGAAGACGGACGGAATCCTAGGATTCTTTCGTGAGACAAATACTTTTATGCATACCTCTTCTGGTTGATCTACACCATACTCTATTCTCGTAAGATGATAGACACTAGCTAATAGCCCGCCTGGCGCTACATCATAGGCGCATTGGGAGCGTAAATAATTGTAACCATATACGTATAAAATAACAGCAATGGAATACCAATCCTGGGGCTTTATTTGTAAAGTCTCTGTGCCTTGGTAATCAAAGCCCAAAGATCTATGACTTAGTCCATGTTTGACTAGCCAAGCAGACAAACGACCCTGCATCTTTTTTATATCTCCCCTCTTTTGTGTATTATTTGTATAAGTATTTCACATTTACGATGAAATTTATGTGGTCTACTATATACTATATATATGCTATTTTGTACAAAGAACTACTGCCTAATTTATTTTATCAATTCGTGAGAAAAGGCTGAACTCTTGTATTTAAAAAAGGTTTCAGTAGGTATTTCTGCCGTTGCCGTATAGTCCGATTGAGAAAGGAATCCTTTATCAGAATCAGATTTTCCAATACGAATATTTCGCCGAATATGAAACTTATGATTGGAAGTAAAACAGCGGTTCACTCGTTCAGACCTAATTCTATCTTCGGAGATTTCTCGAGACATTTTCTTACGAAGTTTTGTTATAGCCTCTATAACTGCTTCTGGATTAGGTGGACAGCCTGGCAAATAGACATCCACAGGAATTAGTTTATCAACTCCCGAACAGTACTATAAGAATCAGTACTGAACATCCCTCCTGTAATTGTACATGCTCCCATTGCAATAACATATTTTGGTTCGGGCATTTGCTCATACAGTCTCACTAAAGAGGGGGCCATTTTCATTGTTACTGTTCCAGCCGTTAAAATTAGATCCGCCTGTCTAGGACTCGACCTTGGTACTAGACCATAACGATCAAAGTCGAATCGTGAACCTAGTAGGGAAGCAAATTCAATGAAACAACAGCTGGTACCATAGAGAAGCGGCCATAAACTAGAGAGTCTTGACCAATTTGAAAGATCATTTAATGTAGTTGAAATAACCGAATTTTGGGCTGTTCGGTCAAGTAAAGGAAACTCAATAGAATTCATAACAGTCTCAATTTTCCTTTTTCCCCTTTTTCTTTGTATTGTCTAAATATTAAGGAGCTAAGACCATTCCAATGCTCCCTTTCGCCATGCAAAAACTAAACCAATAATTAAGATAAGTACAAAAATTAAAGCTTCCACAAATACGGATACACCCAATATATCGAAACTCATTGCCCATGGATAAAGAAAACCGTTTCAACATCAAAAACAACAAAAACTAAAGCAAACATATAATAACGGATTCTAAACTGTAACCAAGCGTCGCCCATTGGTTCTATACCGGATTCATAACTAGAAAGCTTCTCCGGACCTTTGCTAATCGGGGCTAAAACTCCCGAAATGAAAAAGGTCAAAATAGGAATAAGACTCGATATTAGTAGAAATACCCAAAAAATATCATATTCGTAAAGCAGAAACATAGAAAGACTCCTCTGGACGTGGAAAATATACCGGATTGCTCAATTGAAATTGTCAAGTCATCGATAACTATTTGGTCAAAATAAACATAAATTCGTTTTCAGCGAATTGATTAATTTCCGTTATTTACTGTGGCATTTCAAGGTGCAACCCTATATTCCATTATACCATACCGCTTTTTAGTTAGTATAACTCTATCTATATCTTACTTTTATACAAGTTCTTTTTTCGCCTAAGTTTCTCTCTAAACTAAAGAAAGGGAATTTGAAATAAAAAAAGAAAATTCTCCTTTATTTTAGTTGAACTTACTAATTTTATTTTAATTGAATAAATCGTAAATTTTTAAAATTTAAGAGAATAGAAATAAATTTGATTGAATTTTGATTAATCATTTTTATTTTCTATTAGTTTTATATTTATATTCTAATTAATTAATTAATTATTAATTGTAAATTGAATTGTTATTATTTCTTTTTTATTAATTTATTTTTGAATTCATTTTTGAAATTTTTAATTAATTTTAGGGCTATACGGACTCGAACCGTAGACCTTCTCGGTAAAACAGATCAAACTTTTTATTATCAAAATGATCCGAACTGTTTCAAAGACCCAACATGCATTTTTTTGCATTGGGCTCTTTCATTAACTGATGAAAATATCAGCTAGTCTGCCATCTTTTTTCTTTTGATATAAAAAATAAGATAAAGATAAGAAGATGGCTCCTCGTGCTCTGATTACTTATTTTGCATTCTGATCCAAGAGCACTACCAAAGTCTTTCAAAGGTATGGTTATCTTGACGTAGGTATGCCTCCGGCCTCTTCAACCTAAGTTTAAGTTAAATGAAGTCTCTATCGTTCTGTTTTCAAAATGAAATATGAAACTTAATACACCTTAAAGTTCATAGGACGAAAAGAGATTGTTTGAGTTCCTTATACTCATTAGGCCTAGCATTGAGTAGACTAACTATTCACCCTATCAATATCTCCAATCTAGGATAGGGTCTATTTGGCACCTATACGGGCACTCCAATTGAACCGAACCCTTTTGTCAGGCTATTGTTCCCTTAAATTAAAGTTATGGGGTAAGACATTCTGAATTAAGATACCCATTCTTTTGATTTTATGATGTGTTCCCTTTGAAAAACATTGGCGCACGTGTAAACGAGGCGCTCTACCAACTGAGCTATAGCCCTTATTGCTTGTAATACATATTTTATTATGTAGCTAATTTGTTGTCAAGATTAATATTCGATGATCGAACATCATAAATCTTTGATCTGGTTCCGCGGTATTGCTTCTAAAGAATATTATATTTATAATCCATGAAGGGGATGGATTCCTTTTTGTTCTCTTTGGGACGAGAAATAACCTACTTAACTCAGTGGTTAGAGTATTGCTTTCATACGGCGAGAGTCATTGGTTCAAATCCAATAGTAGGTAGAACTTATTAGATACGCAGTATCTAATAAGTTTTTTGAACCACCCTCTATTTAGTTTTTTGATTTTGCATTTTTTCTATTTTCTTTCTGAATTTCTTTTAGTTGCATCAAAATTGGGATTTGCTTGATTGTATGTGATAGAATCCAAATAGGGTTTGAAACCTATTTATTCGAACGTACTAACTTAGTTATCAAATCAAACCACATTGAGAGCCTCTACTCGTGTCCTAGCTCGGCGGAGCGCTAGATTTGCTTCAATTATTTGTCTCTTTCCTTCAGCCTTTTTCAAATTAGCTTCCGCTATTTCAAGAGTTTCCTGAGCTTCTTGTGCATCAATGTCACTACCCTTCTCCGCATCATTTACTAAAATGGTTATGTCATTATTGCCTATTCTAGCAAAACCGCCCATCAGAGCCATTGTTAACCATTGGTCATTAAGACGTATTCTTAAAATACCTATATCTACAGCTGTCGCAATAGGGGCATGATTGGGTAATACGCCAATTTGACCACTATTAGTAGATAGAATTATTTCTTTCACTTCTGCATCCCAAACAATTCTATTAGGGGTCAGTACACAAAGATTTAAGGTCATTTCTTCAAATTGTTCTCCATTTCTAGGTTCATAGCCTTCGCGGTAGCTTCATCGATATTACCTACTAAATAAAAGGCTTGTTCAGGAAGACCATCTAACTCGCCGGAAAGAATCAATTGAAATCCTCTAATTGTTTCTGCCAGACCAACATATTTCCCTGGAGAGCCAGTAAATACTTCTGCTACAAAGAAAGGTTGTGATAAGAAACGTTCAATTTTTCGCGCCCGCGCTACGATTAAACGATCCTCTTCGGATAATTCGTCTAACCCAAGGATAGCTATAATATCCTGAAGTTCTTTGTAACGTTGTAAGGTTTGTTTCACTTTTTGCGCGGTTTCATAATGTTCCTCACCAACGATCCGAGGTTGAAGCATAGTTGATGTTGAATCTAAAGGATCAACTGCTGGATAGATACCTTTGGCAGCTAATCCTCTTGATAGTACGGTAGTAGCATCTAAATGTGCAAATGTCGTAGCAGGCGCGGGGTCGGTTAAATCGTCCGCAGGCACATAAACCGCTTGAATAGAAGTGATGGACCCCTCCTTGGTAGAAGTAATCCTTTCTTGTAAAGAACCCATTTCAGTACTCAGTGTCGGTTGGTAGCCCACGGCAGAAGGCATTCGACCCAATAAGGCCGAGACTTCGGACCCTGCTTGGACGAAACGGAATATATTGTCGATAAATAGAAGTACGTCTTGTTCATTAACATCTCGAAAATATTCGGCCATAGTTAGGGCAGTCAAACCAACTCTCATACGAGCTCCTGGCGGTTCGTTCATCTGACCGTAAACGAGAGCCACTTTTGATTCTGCAATATTTTCTTCATTAATCACTCCAGATTCTTTCATTTCCATGTAAAGATCATTTCCTTCACGAGTACGTTCGCCCACTCCTCCAAATACGGATACGCCACCATGCGCTTTGGCAATATTGTTAATCAATTCCATAATGAGTACTGTTTTACCCACCCCAGCTCCGCCAAATAGTCCTATTTTTCCACCACGGCGATAAGGGGCTAAAAGATCCACTACTTTAATTCCAGTTTCAAAAATGGATAATTTTGTATCTAACTGTATAAAGGCGGGCGCAGATCTATGAATCGGAGCTGTTGTACTGGTATCTACCGGACCTAAATTATCAACAGGCTCCCCAAGCACGTTGAAAATTCGTCCCAGAGTTGCTCCCCCTACTGGAACACTTAGAGGGGCCCCGTGCCAATCACTTCCATTCCTCTCGTTAGACCATCTGTGGCACTCATAGCTACAGCTCTAACTCGATTATTTCCTAATAATTGTTGTACTTCACAAGTTACATTAATTGGTTGACCAGCAATATCTTTACCTTTAACTACCAGGGCGTCATAAATATTAGGCATTTTGCCTGGCGGAAAGGCTACATCTAGTACTGGTCCGATGATTTGGACAATACGCCCCAGGTTTTTTTTGTCAAGCGCCGAAACCGCAGAACCAGAAGTAGTAGGATTTATTCTCATAATAATTAATAAAGAAAATATTTTTGCTAAAATTATCGAATTCAAACCAAAAACAAATAGGTGATAGCGAGTTGATCGGTTAATTCACTAAGCCATGAGAGTTAGCAACCCATTTGGTTGTTACCATTCAATCGAATCCAATTCAATTCTTTCAATAAAGAAACAATAAAAGAAACAATGAATTTGAAAAGTCAATCAACCTATTATTTCCAATTTTTAGAATCGCAAACAGATGAATAAGAATCTTGAGAAAGCCTTTCATTTGTTTATCATTATAGACAATCCCATCTATATTATCTATTCTATGGAATTCGAACCCGAGCTCTGTTTACATTACGATTCATTAATTTCTATCCGATTCAAAAAGGTAAATTGGGTTGCGTTATATATATGAAAGGGTATACAATAATGATGTATTTGGCAAATCGTATGGTCTAATAATCAAACATTCGGATTAGTTGATAATTTATTTTAGTATTGGTTGGGAATTTTGTGAAAGATTCCTGTGAAAAATTGCATTAACAACGAATTCGTGTCGAGTAGACCTTGTTGTTGTGAGAATTCTTAATTCATGAGTTGTAGGGAGGGATTTATGTCACCACAAACAGAGACTAAAGCAAGTGTTGGATTCAAAGCTGGTGTTAAAGAGTACAAATTAACTTATTATACTCCTGAATACGAAACCAAAGATACTGATATCTTGGCAGCATTCCGAGTAACTCCTCAACCCGGAGTTCCACCGGAAGAAGCAGGGGCCGCGGTAGCTGCCGAGTCTTCTACTGGTACATGGACAACTGTATGGACCGATGGACTTACCAGTCTTGACCGTTACAAAGGACGATGCTACCACATCGAGCCAGTTCCTGGAGAAGAAGATCAATTTATTGCTTATGTAGCTTACCCTTTAGATCTTTTTGAAGAAGGTTCTGTTACTAACATGTTTACTTCCATCGTAGGTAATGTATTTGGGTTCAAAGCCCTGCGCGCCCTACGTCTGGAAGATTTGCGAATTCCAATTGCTTATGTTAAAACCTTCGAAGGGCCGCCTCACGGTATTCAGGTCGAGAGAGATAAATTGAACAAGTATGGTCGTCCCCTATTGGGATGTACTATTAAACCTAAATTAGGTTTATCTGCTAAAAACTACGGTAGAGCATGTTATGAATGTCTTCGTGGTGGACTTGATTTTACTAAAGATGATGAAAACGTGAACTCTCAACCATTTATGCGTTGGAGAGATCGTTTCTTATTTTGTGCCGAAGCCATTTATAAATCGCAGGCTGAAACTGGTGAAATCAAAGGGCATTACTTGAATGCTACTGCAGGTAACTGCGAAGAAATGATCAAAAGGGCTGTATTTGCTCGAGAATTGGGAGTTCCTATCATAATGCATGATTACTTAACAGGGGGATTCACTGCAAATACTAGCTTATCTCATTATTGCCGAGATAATGGATTACTTCTTCACATTCACCGTGCAATGCATGCAGTTATTGATAGGCAGAAGAATCATGGTATGCACTTCCGCGTACTAGCTAAAGCGTTACGTATGTCTGGCGGAGATCATATTCACTCCGGTACTGTAGTAGGTAAACTTGAAGGTGAAAGAGATATCACTTTGGGCTTTGTTGATTTACTGCGCGATGATTATATTGAAAAAGATCGTTCCCGCGGTATTTATTTCACTCAAGATTGGGTCTCTATGCCGGGTGTTCTGCCTGTGGCTTCAGGAGGTATTCACGTTTGGCATATGCCTGCTTTGACGGAAATTTTGGAGATGATTCCGTACTACAGTTCGGTGGAGGAACTTTGGGACACCCTTGGGGTAATGCGCCAGGTGCTGTAGCGAATCGAGTAGCTCTAGAAGCATGCGTAAAAGCTAGAAACGAGGGGCGTGATCTTGCTTCTGAGGGTAATGAAATTATCCGCGAGGCTGCTAAATGGAGTCCTGAACTAGCGGCTGCTTGCGAAGTATGGAAAGAGATTAAATTTATTTTCGCAGCGGTGGATACTTTGGATAAATAATTTGTAATTTCTTTTTGTTCTCTTAGTTGAATTGAACTTTAACTCGGCCCAATCTTTTACTACAAAGGATTGAGCCGAATACAAAGATTCTATTGCACGTATTTTCGATAAATACAGACTTAATCTAAGTAGAGAAGATGGTAAATACAAAGTCGACGAATTAAATCTTTCTAGTGATATCTTGGATCCACAACGAATCTTATGGATTCTTAGGGTTGGTATATTCGTTTCTTGAGTTTACTTGAAACAAAACAAAAACTTTTCTACCCATCCCGTATATTGTCCCTTTATTAGTTAGTTCATAGACGACATTTTTCAAAAAAAAAGGATTTCTAATCATATCATTTTTTTAGAAAGACTTAGAAAGACAAGGGTTTATAGTATATTCATATCACATTTGGCAGAGTCATATCATAAGTATTGCTGTTGATTTACACAAAACAACAAAGAATTTTGTTCAATACTCAAACGTTAGTTACTAATGAATTCTAGTAATTGGGTTTCTCTGTTTATTCTGATAGGAAATAAGGTATTCAACTAAATAAAGAATTTTGTAAAGAATTTTGGATCGAATGACTATTCATCTATTGTATTTTCATGCAAATAGGAGGCAAGAAAACGCTATGGAAAAATGGTGGTTTAATTCGATGCTGTTTAAGTTTAAGAAGGAGTTCGAATGCAAGTGTGGGCTAGATAAACCAATGGACAGTCTTAGTCCTATTGAAAATACCAGCGAAAGCAACGATACGAATCTAAAAGCCACGACTAAAAGGATTCAGGGTTGGGAAGGTCGTCATGATTCTAGTTACAGTAAGGTTGATCCTTTATTTGTTGTCAAAGACATTCAGAATTTTAGTCCTGATGACCCCCTTTTAGTTAAGGATAGTAATGGAGACAGTTATTCCATATATTTTGATATTGAAAATCAAATTTTTGAGATTGATAAAAAAGAATTCTTTTCGGGGTGAGCTAGAAAGTTCTTTTCCTAGTTATCAGAATTCTAGTTATCTCAATGATGTATCTACGATTGAAGATACCTACTCGAACTCTAATCGGGACATGTATGATACTCAATATAGTTGGAATACTCATATTAATAGTTGCATTGACAGTTATCTTCAATCTCAAATCGGGATTGATACGGACATTGTAAGTAGTAGTGATAATTACGGCGATAGCTACATTTATAGTTCCATTTATGCTGAAATTACAAATAATAGTGAAAGCGAGGGTTCGGATATACTAACCCACGCGACGGTTAATGATTTTACTTTAAGTGAAAGTTCTAATGATTCCGACGATGTAAGTCAAAAATATAGGGATTTGTGGGTTCAATGCGAAAATTGTTATGGATTAAATTATAAGAAATTTTGAAATCAAAAATGAATATTTGTGAACAATGTGGATTTCATTTGAAAATGAATAGTTTGGATAGAATCGAACTTTTGATCGATCCCGGTACTTGGGATCCTATGGATGAAGAGATGGTTTCTTTGGATCCCATTGAATTTCATTCCGAAGACGAACCTTATAAAGATCGCATTGATTCTTATCAAAGGAAGACAGGATTAACTGAGGCTGTCCAAACCGGCATCGGCCAACTAAATGCCATTCCCGTAGCAGTTGCGATTATGGATTTTCACTTTATGGGGGGTAGTATGGGATCCGTAGTTGGGGAAAAAATTACCCGTTTGATTGAGTACGCTACCGATAAGTGTCTACCTCTTATTATAGTATGCGCTTCAGGGGGGGCGCGCATGCAAGAAGGAAGTTTGAGCTTGATGCAAATGGCTAAAATTTCGTCTGCTTTATATGATTATCAATCAAATAAAAAGTTATTTTATGTATCAATCCTTACATCTCCTACTACTGGTGGGGTGACAGCGAGTTTTGGTATGTTGGGTGATATCATTATTGCCGAACCCGATGCTTACATTGCTTTTGCGGGTAAACGAGTAATTGAACAAACATTGAATACAACCGTACCCGAAGGTTCGCAAGCGGCTGAATACCTATTTGAGAAGGGTTTATTCGACCTAATTGTCCCACGTAATATTTTAAAAAGTGTTCTGAGTGAGTTATTGGCGTTCCATGATTTCCTTCCTTTGAATCAAAATTCAATAGAGAACTAAGTAAAATTTGTTATTATTTTTTTTTTAGCAAATGAGTAGTTAGTTTATCAGAATAAAAGTAAGTAAGAATGGAATTTTTTTGTTTTCATACGATCTAACTGTAGAACGAATCAAAAGGGTTGGATAATTTTGATTATTAATCAAGAAGTCTTTATCCAAAAAAGGTGCATTCTTCAAATTAGGAAAAAAACAAATTTCGTCTTATCGTACAGATAAAAAAAAAGAACAAAAAGGTATTCTATTCTACTGCATATCTTTCGTGTAGAAGGATTCGAAAGATGAATAAGTTCATTTAGTTAGTTCTCCATTTATTGCGTTTATTCTATATAATAATATTAACTTAGATATTTAACTATATATTTATCTATTATAGATATTATAGATAGTTAGCTCTATACTAAGAATTTCCAATTGACTTAAATTCAAATTAATAAGAATTAAATAATTATAATTTATATTTATAGTATAAAATATTTGGATTTATAAATAAACAACAAATAACAGGTACAAATAATAAATTGAGGAACCCATTTTATGACAACTTTCAGCTTTCCTTCTATTTTTGTGCCTTTAGTAGGCCTAGTATTTCCGGCAATTGCAATGGCTTCTTTATTTCTTTATGTTCAAAAAAATAAGATTGTTTAGATCTGTTGGGGCGTAATTTTCTTCGATTTGTTTTCAAAACTATGATTTGGATCATAACACGGATACTAGTTAATTGAATTCGGTATAACATGTGATTTTTGCCGCATATAATATAAAGGAAAGAATTTGAAGGCCTGCATATAAACATGATATATGAGTAAATGAATTCTAGCTGTTTTCAAATCGATCATGACGCCGGATGGCTGAAAGAGAAAGCCCGCGGATCTCTATCTATCGATCGTATATCTAGAGTGGGATCATATCATACATATCCTAAAGGAAGGGGTATATTATGATTTTAGCTCTAACAAATTTCAATTTGATGACTTACTGCCCTTACTTGTAAAGGGGTCTAGTGCTAGTTGATGAGAGTTACTTGGGAAACAAAAAAAGTAAAGTCAAATTAATTTGAGGTATGCTCTAAATTCTAATAAAATTTAATTGGATCAAGTATGAGTTGGCGATCAGAAGATAGATGGATAGAACTTATAACGGGGTCCCGCAAAATAAGTAATTTTTGCTGGGCCTTTATCCTTTTTAGGTTCATTAGGATTCCTATTGGTTGGAACTTCGAGTTATTTTGGTAAAAATTGGATATCTTTTTTTCCCCAGGGGATCGTGATGTCTTTCTACGGAATCTCGGGTCTCTTTATTAGCTCCTATTTGTGGTGCACAATTTCTTGGAATGTAGGCAGTGGTTATGATCGATTTGATAGAAGGGAAGGCATAGTGTGTATTTTTCGTTGGGGATTTCCTGGAAAAAATCGTCGCATATTCCTGCGATTCCTTATAAAAGATATTCAGGCCATTCGAATAGAAGTTAAAGAGGGTATTTCTGCTCGTCGTGTTCTTTATATGGACATCCGTGGACAGGAGCCATCCCTTTAACTCTTACTGATGATAATTTGATTCCACGAGAAATTGAAAAAAGGGCTGCCGAATTGGCCTATTTCTTGCGTGTACCTCTTGAAGTATTTTGAGAAATCAGTGGAAAAGAGGCGCCTTTCTCAGTAGTAGGGAAAAAAGAAAAGAATCTTTTCGACAACATAACACAAAATTTAGGTGTGAAGTTTCATCAAAAAAAGGCCCATTCGAGCCAAAGCGGGCAGAACAACACTAAAAGGAAACCCCTTTTGTGGTTTTTTATACGTATGAAAATCGATGAAATTTCATTCAAACAAGTAAAAAATCGAAATAAAGAAATGGATCTTTTTTGTTAAGTTTTAATATAATTGTTGGAGTTGGAATTGCTACTTTTACTTTAGATCCAAAGATCCAGATAAAAGCTCCAGATCCAGATAAATCCTACCTTGTAAATTGGTAAATTTTTTTTCAATGGACGTTTGTTTTTGTCGTTTATTTTGTGTTCTTTAATAAACAATCCACAACGAACAACTCAATTTCATCACTAGCCAATTTGGGTTTTGTTTTGTCACGTTGATTATCGTAATCGCTTCTTTTTCAATTATTCTATTTCTATTCCTGACTGTGAGTAATCCGTTAATTTGTTTTGAAATTGAAATATTGGCTATTTTGTTTTGATACAACAGTTTCGTCTCCAAATTTAACTAATATTAAAATTAATATTAAGTAGTTTTAGTTATTTTAGTTAAAAAGGCTATTTCCATACTTCATCCAAAGGAGACAATTGTTGACTGATTGAGATATCGTGAAACAATATTTGTTTAGTATTTCTTCATTCGAAATGGCTTATTAGTTGATTTCTTTATTCTTTCTAGATTCAATAACAACAAAGAAAATAAATTGAATTTATGGGTTTCATATCTTGTATATAACCCATGCGTCAAAGAAATATTTGATGCGTCAAAGAAATATTTGATTTCATAGAGTCAACAAATGAGGTTGGTTGATTAAAAATTCGCCGATCAAAAAATGACAAAAAAAAAAGCATTTACTCCCGCGTTAAAGCTTCTATTTATAGTATTTTTGCCCTGGTGCCTTTCCCTCTCATTTAATAAAAGCCTGGAATCTTGGGTCACTAAGTGGTGGAATGCTGGGCAATCCGAAATTTTTTTGAATGATATTCAAGAAAGGGGAATTCTAGCAAAATTCCTAAAATTAGAGGAACTCCTCGTCTTCGAGGAAATGATCGAGGAATATTCGGAGACACATCTACAAAAACTTCGTATAGGAATCCAAAAAGAAATAATTCAATTAATCAAGATACACAATGAGGATGGAATCCATACGATTTTGCACTTCTCAACAAATATAATCTGTTTTTTTCTTCTAAGCGGTTATTCTATTTTAGGTAATCAAGAACTTGTTATTCTTAACTCTTGGGCCCAGAAATTCCTATATAACTTAAGTGACACAGTCAAAGCTTTTCGATTCTTTTATTAACGGATTTATGTATCGGATTCCACTCACCCCACGGTTGGGAACTAATGGTTGGCTCTGTCTACAAACATTTTGGATTTGTTCATAATGATGAAATTATATCGGGTCTAGTTTCCACTTTTCCAGTCATTCTGGATACTATTTTTAAATATTGGATTTTTCGTTATTTAAATCGCGTATCCCCTTCGCTTGTAGTTATTTATCATTCAATGAATGACTGATAGAGGATCTACTTAATTATTTTATTATTAATCGTTTGTTACTTTGTAGTTGTACCTACCTAAATCATTAAAAATCGTACTTAGGCTTTCTATTTCGACCTATTGAGTAGGGTCATCTTAGATTATTTCAACTAAAATATTATTCCATTTAATTTATTTTCCAATAACTAGCAGAATCGTGGATAGGAAACTATACTAGTGACTTACCCCATTTATTGTAGAAATTTTGGGATCAAGATTGGACCATGGAAACTAGAAAGACTTTTTATTGGATAAAGGAAAAGATTACTCGATCTATTTCTGTATCGATCATGATATATATGATAACTCAGACAGCCATTTCAAATGCATATCCTATTTTTGCACAACAGGGTTATGAAAATCCACGCGAAGCCACTGGGCGTATTGTCTGTGCCAATTGCCATTTAGCAAGTAAGCCCGTCGATATTGAGGTTCCACAGGCGGTACTTCCTGATACTGTATTTGAAGCGGTTGTTCGAATTCCTTATGATATGCAACTGAAACAAGTTCTTGCTAATGGTAAAAAAGGGGGTTTGAATGTAGGGGCTGTTCTTATTTTACCGGAAGGGTTTGAATTAGCTCCTTCCGATCGTATTTCTCCAGAGATTAAAGAAAGGATAGGCAATTTGTCTTTTCAGAGCTATCGCCCCAATAAAAAAAATATTCTTGTGATAGGACCCGTACCCGGTCAGAAATATAGTGAAATCACCTTTCCTATACTTTCCCCGGACCCTGCTACGAAGAAAGATATTTACTTCTTAAAGTATCCTATATACGTGGGCGGGAACCGAGGAAGGGGTCAGATTTATCCTGACGGGAGTAAGAGTAACAATACAGTTTATAATGCTACAGCAGCAGGTATAGTAAGCAAAATCTTACGAAAAGAAAAAGGGGGATATGAAATAACCATAACAGATACGGGTGGACAAGAAGTGGTTGATATTATCCCCCCAGGACCAGAACTTCTTGTTTCAGAGGGCGAATCCATCAAATTTGATCAACCATTAACGAGTAATCCTAATGTGGGAGGGTTTGGTCAAGGGGATGCAGAAATAGTACTTCAAGACCCATTGCGCCTCCAAGGCCTTTTGGTCTTCTTGGCATCTGTTATTTTGGCACAAATCTTTTTGGTTCTTAAAAAGAAACAGTTCGAGAAGGTTCAATTAGCTGAAATGAATTTCTAGACTTGCGGTTGCGGATTTATTGACTTTTTACTTTTTTCCTACTCGACTGGGACTTTTGTGTCCAGCCATAATCTAGAGATTTTGATATGTAGATTTTGAAGAAGGCTGTTGGGTTGGGTTTTCCCTTTCTTAGCTTTTGTTATGCAAAATGGTGTGGTTTAGTTATATTACTACTGTTATTTTTCAATATCATAAAATGGATCAATAATTTGATTTTTGATTCACAATCTAATCCAATTGGATTAAATACTAGGCAGAAGTAATTGGTTATGTTATATAGAAAGAACGGATAAATGCGGGAAACGTATAATGCTAGGAGAGAGTATTCGTCTTCCGAGTAGTCTTCGACACAAGAAAGGGAATTTTCGAAACTCTTTCTTGTGCCGAAAGAGTAATGATTCTTAATCCTGTTCTTCAATGATTCCTAGTCTTGTTTTTGAATTTTTACAATGTATCAGAAAATTTTTTCGAGTTATTATGAGATAATATAAGAATAAGATAAGAGGTGGTGGGCAAATAAAAAAAGTATGATTCTTAGGAACTCAACGGGTCTGTCCCCCTCAAATCAGACAAAGAAAGAGGGGAATCCCGCCGAGTTCTTACGCTTTCATGTCTCGAACTCAACTCATTCGATTACTATAGGGATGAACCCAATCCGGAATATGAACCATAAAAGAAAACACCTATTAACCCGATCACAAGAATACCAGTTACAGTACCTATTATCCAAAGAGGAATTCTTCCAGTAGTATCGGCCATTTATCCCACTTCACTCCGTATTTCATCAAGTGTTCGTGCTAGAGAGACATAAACAGTCATGGATAATTATTAGATGAGATCCTTCCGAATGCGCTAAGAGAATACCTAGAATTCTTATTGGATTCTCTTTCGTTTTCTTAATTGAAGAAATAATTGGAAAATAAAACCGCAAGTACAAAAATGAGTAATAACCCCCAGTATAGACTGGTACGATTCAATTCAACATTTTGTTCGTTCGGGTTTGATTGTGTCATAGTTAAGTTATAAAATTCGGATATAGGTTTATCGTTGGATGAACTGCATTGCTGATATGGATCCCAAAAAGAAGACGGTAGGGACCGCCAGTCCGTGAACAGCCAACCATCGTACTGTAAAAATTGGATAGGTTCGATCTATAGTCATTAGGCCCTCCTAAAAAGATCTACTAAATTCATCAAGTTGTTCCAAAGAATCAAAACGACCAGTTATTAATGGAATTCCCTGTCGATTTTCTGTGAAATACTCGTT